CGGGGGGTTGGCGGGCCGAGCTGTGAATTTTTTCGGGGGCGAACGGAGTTTCATTATCTAAACAAGTCGTCGTCGAATATATATATCGGCACGACGGCGATGCGGAGGGAGGACGAAGGGAAGAGAGGAAAAAAAAGGAACTGGGGAAGGGTGGTGTGTGCAGAAGCGACGGATGGCGTCGGCGACAGGGAGCAGAGCCATGTCGTCGCCGTCGAACGGACGGCGTAACGACGGCCGCTCTCCCGTGCAGACGGACGACGGAACGTGGAGTGAGACGGAAAGGGAGAAAGAGACAGCCGGGCGCCGATTCCAGCGACCGGCCGGCGCTAACCTCGACGCCAACCGTGGAGCGTCGCCGACATCGTCGCCGCCACTGGCGACCGACGACACGGTGAAGACGACGACGACGACAACGACGTCGTCGACGACCACGACGTTGGACCAATGCAAGAATACTTCTTCTGTTGGCATCATGGCACCGTCACGGCGGGGGTGGGAAGCGTTGCTCATCGGTCGCCAAGCCGGAGGGCGCCCTGCCCTACCCCTTTCCTATTCCCTCTTCCCTCCCGTTTACACCGACACATGTTTGCCTTGGGTACTGTGAGCCTGAAATCCGCGATCCCGGGATACTATCGATACCGTCGTGTTTTGTCCAGGAATAATTATTAATCCGGGGCTGGCTGTAATCCTTGGTGCCAGTGTGTCTTCCAGTAACCCCCTTCTCTGAACCTATACACTTCCGACATGCCTTAAGAAGTTTGTTTGGATCAGACTTGTTTTCTTTGGAGTTCTCGTCGCGGTAACATGCAAATTGCTGGAAAAATTGTTGAAACGTTTGGGAGAATATATTTTAGGATTCAAACAAGTTGTCTCTTTTGATGATGATTGTAGTTGCTTGATGTAGTAATTTAGGGTACAGGAAATAGAGCTTGATGAAATGAGTTTGTTTTTTTCGAGAGCCGCGTTGTTGGTGCTGTGTGAGGGATTGGGTCTTGGCAATTTGGAGGGACGAAGGTAACGCGAAGGGAAATATGTTTCTTGAAATGAATTAAATATCCTTCGTCCGGTGCCGCAATGTCTGTAGCCCGTTCCCCCTTGTTACAGAACCAGTGCGCTCTCGATTGATCATAAGACGTTTGTTCTGGGGAATGGCGCTTGGTTTTATGGTTCCACGGGACTCCTATAATATTACTTCAATCGGGGGAAGTGCTTTTGAAGTCTATTTACTTCGGAAAAACCTTGCGTCGGATGTCTAAGGAATAATCACAAGATGATCGAGTTTTAAAGTTGAAGATAATCGTAAGCATCATATGGATTTATGTGAGGGATCTGTATTTCTTTGTGCAAACAGCTGTAATTTTATTTACTAACAATATTAGTTCATTGTTTTTACTACTACGTAGTAAACATATCACTTGCTTATTATATTAACCGAAACATTGAAACTTAAATTGAAACTCAACAGTACATGAATACTCTCGACTCTCGCTGTATACGTGTGTGTACCGATA